GCGCTCATTGGCTCACATTTATTAATTCATATCTTAATAACTATTGCACATTTTGCAAAATGGTAAATAACTTTTCTGTTCGGATTGACCCGATCTACCTACACACTTCGGCTGATTCGTTCGTTATGAGACACCCTGTATATGTTTCTGCCTTGAGTTCTTTCCGACAGTTTGACTTTACTTCGATAAACTGTAAGTAACCATCGATAACTACTTCTTATTTGTTGATTCTTATTTCGGACGTACTTTTCATAGGTCTCATTTAATATCATGGACAACCTGGCGGCATTCAAGTATTGTATGACCATTAATACTAAGATCTTATGTTAAAAATGTATTTGCGTGTGTATCCATTTTTGTATTATTTTTTTTAAATTTAAATTTATTTATTGTTTTAATTAATCATTATTTTTTTATTGCGACTGAAGAAGGCTTCATTGTGAGTCGAAACGTTTCGCCTATTATTTGTTCTATGTTTTAATATACTCATTTACACACCATCTATTGTTCTTTGCTCGTTTTGCGACCTTTCCTTTTCATTCTTATTGTTATATTTACGAGCGGTTTCTGTTTCTTATTTATTTATCACGGTTTCACGTAAACGCACAAGCGTTTTTTTCCAATTACTCGTTTTTCACATAATTAAGCCTATGTCACACTAAGGATTGGGATTGAGATTGGATTGAAATTTGACCAACCAGAAGAAAGAAAACCAATTCTAAGTTTAGTGATCTTTGCTCTGATTGGCCAAATTGCAATCCAATCTCAATTCTAATCCGTAGTGTGACATAGGCTTTACGCGAGCGAGTCTACGGACAATTTTTTAAGTACGAGTCGTTGCTCTACAAGGCACGTGCGTTCCGCGACTCATTCGCAATTAGGGAAAATGGCTGACGATTCGTCGGACATGCGTGTGTTTTGACAATTTCGGATCCATCGTCCAAGCTCCCTCCCCCCCGATTGTTTGGCGCAAACAACGTTGGGTTGCGAGAGAGAAGTTTTACGATTTTTCGCGAGTTTCGTCCGCTCCGGGGTCAATCAACGTTCAATTTAAGTAAAATTCCGAGACGGGGTTTGCGTTTTGTGCGTCGCGCGTGTCCCGCGAATCGTCGTCCCCCTTATCTCTCTTGTACATACCGCGTACAATAACTCCCCGTTTCCGAGGTGTTTCCCGACTACCATTAGGAAAAATAGTCTTCCGATGGGCTGATATCATCGTCTTTTTTTAAACATGGAATTTGTGCGCGAGGCAAGTATCAAATGTCGAAGCGAACAATTTGTTTCGGATCTGTCACACCGCGCGCACAGCACCGGGCTCTCGGGTTGTTATACTTTTTCCGCACAAGGTGTCGTTCTTTTTTTTTTTTTTTTTATCTAATATGACACATTGCTTGACGATAATACGATAATTGCAAAATTGTTCCGGGACGTATTCGAGAATGTTCTCTTAACGCCGACATAGTGTGGGAGAATCTCTCTTGTTAAAGTTTTTAATTAACGTCCAAATTAGAGATTTAGTATGTAATATATAACGTAAAAAATTTTGTATATATATTTTTGAAATTTTTAAAATATGAATAATAATGTTTCGAAACATTTGTGTCTCTCAATCGCTTTCTTTCTCTTCTTGTAGATGAAGACACAACGGACCCGCTATATTCTCTGACATAACATCTGTGCGTGGTTGAATAAATGTAGAAAAACTTTAGAAGAGTATTTCATACCGTCATGTTGTGCTAAATTTATCATTATTTTGCGTTCTATATGGTTTCTATGAAAAATCATGGTGTAGACACAAAGAGTTATTAAGGCAATAAAATGCCTGCCATAATATTTAATAATGGGACAGCACTTTGCTAGTCTCAGAGAGTTCTTTAGGATGGATGGTGAACGACAGCCTACTGAGGTATGCGCCAACGCGCTCGGCCGGCCATTGTCTTTGGAAATGGTTAACAATGATGTCATCGAGAGCCTGCCCGATAACGAGACTAACGGCAACGTACCTGTAATGAACTCTAATATACTGCCGAACAGACCGGAATGTAAATCCGAGGGAAATTTGGACAACGATCGTTTAAACTTAAATTTAGACAACCACAATTCTAGATTCGAATCTTTGTATAGTCAACCTGTTGATGTTCATGACACCAAGCAAGTTTGTAACAATGGTAACGTTACCAACGAGCTGTCGTTTCAACAGCAGCAGGAAGCGTGCTGTAGTAGTTCCGGTAGTAACAGTAGCAGCAGTTCTGAAGATAGTCCTGTGAATCCACCGTTAAGAAGATCCTCCAAAACTTTATCATTTGGAAAGAGGAAAAGTACGCATTTATATATATATATATATATGTTATATCAAATTTAATTTTATTTAAAATTTGTAGTTTGCATTTATAATATCATCTATACATGTATATGATTTCACATTTTGTCTGTGTTATACGTTTCTTAATTTAATCAATTATGTTTTTTATGAACACATTTTTATCTTCTCGATAGTTTATGAAAGTATGGAACTGTGTGTGTGTGTTTTTTTTTTTAATTTGACTGTAATTTTTCATTCACGCTAGATAAACAGCGCAACAAGGATCAAAGTCCAGTGTGTAATCATGTTTTGTCGTCAAAAAAGAAACGTAGCAACTGGGTGTTGAAATTTAATTGCGCCAAGAGCAAAAGCTCAAAAAATACAGACATTATTCCCGGCCAAGGGAATAGCAATTCAGACTGCATATGCACCGGCTATAGAAGGACCGAGGAACATCCTATGGGTGCGGGAATTGTATTTAGTCGATCCGCTCCACAGAGTCCTGTTCTTGGACCTTTGCCACCTAGCCCCGTAATTGATTTATCGAGATTTAATCCAGAGGAATTTCCTATGGAAGTACGTTTTTTTTTTTTATTCTTCGACAATTTTTACAAAACTTTTTATTTATTTGTGCGATTTATCTGTTCACTTTTTTAAATTATTTGCACAATTTTGAGTTTTGAATTTTGTTCAAGGATTGCGACGAACGCGCGCGAATACAACGCGCTCGGGAGATGGAAGAAGGCGTTGAACCACCGCCCGGTTATAGGCCTAATTATCCTACAGGAATACAAGTTCATCCAAATGGAATTACAGTAGACAGTTTAGCGGCATTGTTTCAGACACATGCCGGTATTCAAGCTGCTGCTCTCACAGCCTTATCTCAGATCGACTTTACCTTAATTCCAAATATCGAGAGACCTGCTCATACGCAGGTAAAGCTTTTTTTCACTTGCACGTTTAGGTTTTTTTTTTTTAATGAAAATAATACATTATATCATGTCATAAATTTAAAATGCAGGTTGATTACGTCCATTGTCTCGTGCCGGACCTAAGGTCAATCACAGCCTGCTCCTTTTACTGGGGTAAGATGGACCGCTACGAAGCGGAACGTTTGTTGGACGGCAAACAGGAAGGTACCTTCTTGCTGCGTGACTCGGCGCAGGAGGAGTTTTTGTTTTCCGTAAGCTTTCGCAAGTACGGACGTTCGTTGCACGCACGGATCGAGCAGTGGAATCACAAATTCAGCTTCGATTCGCACGATCCTGGAGTTTATGCTTCCGACACTGTACGTTTGTCACCGCACGTATATGTATATATAATTTGTTTATTTCCACAAAGTATAGATACAAAAAAATACAAAAGATACAAAAGAATAATCGCAAAATTTTCATTTTACAGGTATGTGGTTTAATTGAACATTATAAGGATCCTTCGTGTTGTATGTTTTTCGAACCGATGCTCACAATCCCGTTGCATCGGAACTTCACGTTCCCGTTGCAGCATTTGTGCAGAGCGGTTATAACCACGCGAACAACATACGATGGCATAAACAAGCTGCAGTTGCCAAAGACACTTAAGAGTTATCTCAAGGAATATCATTATAAGCAGAGAGTTCGGGTCAGACGGTTGGACACGGAAAGTGATCCACAGACGGACTGCAGATCCATATCATGCTTACCGATATGAGAGTCTTTGTATTAATATTCATTAGAGTTTTTATTATACGTTGCATATAATTACGTTTTTTCTTTGAGTCACATTTTATGCAGTTTGCGTCGCCCGTGTCAAACCCGAGCGATATGCGCACACATTTGTATTACCAGGAAAACACTACCATGACTTCGACACACACAGTTACATAGGACAGCATTGCAATATTAGCAATAAAAAACATTGTATTGATTATAAGCGATAATAGAATTTTGGGGGAAAAATGGCTTAGCTGTTTAATTAAAAAAAACACAAAAAAAACAAAAAAAAAATAAAATAAAATAAAATAAAAAAAAAAAGAAAGAAAACCAAGGTGAGACTAGTGCAAAAAAAAAAAAACTGTCGAATAAAACAGATACTCATGGTTCATCGCGAAAAGACCAATAATCCCATATGTGTAAATATATCAGAACAGCAGTGCTTTATAACATACACGCACGGTGCATTGCGAAAAAATCGTTCAATGTATTACGCATACTTCACAATTATTAAGTATTCTATATTTCTTATTATTACTGCTATACGAATCATTTTTTTTTTTTTCTATTTTATTTTTAACTACGTTATATCCTTGGTTTTAACACACACAGTTACTTTCAGTATCTATAATTTAATGTAACGGGAACAGTTTTTTTTTTTTTTTTTTTTATAATATATATATTTTAATAATTTTTATAAAGAAAACAAGATACCAAAATGGTTGCCTAATGAAGATGGCAATTTAGTGTTTATTATTATTGTAAAACTGCGAAATAACGCTAAAAAATTTAAAACCTTTATACGTAAACTAAAGTTACAACAAAAACAACATTATTGCAAGATCTGGATCGTATTCCTATTGTGCCTATTTATAATGTTAAATATATTAGGTAAAAAGCTGTGTCTGTGTTGATGTTCATCATTGCCAGATGAGAAATTGTATTATTTATGTACATTATTTAAATTTCGAAACAATGGGAAAGATATCAAATGTAATAAGAATTTAGAATAACGATAAAAAAAAAAAAAAAAAAAAAAATCACTGAATTGATATGAACTTACGAAATATATATATAATATAATATGAAAATTGTTATAATATAAGTACATTGGTTAATGGTTATATTCGTATATAATCAATTTAATATTAACTCTCCGGTAAGCACGTTAAAACTTTGCACGCATCGCATGTTGCCAATTTGTGACCGAGTTATGTTTTTTGTATATAATATAAATTTTGTACATAAGGGTGTGGGTCAAAAAGTCTCTCGCTGCAAATGTTTCATTTTATCTTTATTTCTCGGGTGCGGTCGAAGTCTCACTGCAATTGTTTCGATACGTCATATTCTATATCATTTATTTCTCGTTAAATGTAAAATAAAGATAGAATGATGCTTCGAAACATTTGCGGCTTTGACCGCGCTCTAAGACAATGAGATAATATTCTAAACTTGTCACGCGATCATAAATGCAATTATGTGCAATTATTAGATGTGTTTCTCATTGAGATCTTTTGTATTGAACAATATTGAGTCAGCAAACCGTATGCACTCTATGTTATTAACATGTCTGCTGGAGAGTTAAAACGAAAATTTGAATATTTATTATATGCACACACATTCTACTAATGTTTTAATACTTGATGACAATTAAAAAAAACACGAAACACGTATTTTTTATATATAATTAAAATAAAAAAATATATATATAAAATATACATGTTTCCAAAATCTGTTGAAACCAAGATGTCTGAGAAGACTAATTTATTGCGGATTTGTTTTTGTCAGAAATGAACACAAATTTATTCCGAATGATAATTAAATTTAATACTCACAGTTGATTTAATATGTATTTTTATTACACATTTTTTATACTAACAGTCTTCTTTCGTAAATTGATGGAATGGTGATTAGGGGAAAATCCATTTCTTGTATAAATTTTTAGAAATAACTAGTAGGAGATAGTTTAACTTCTTACATATTGTGTAACTGGCAACACTATCGTGTAATTGAACATAAAGAAAAGAAGGAACAATGCCAGAAAACAAATATCTATTGTTAATTTAAGAAAAATATTCGATTTCTTAGAAGAGAGTATATATATATTCATTGCACCGCATATTTTCTTATATACTTTCATTAGTTGCAATATTGTCACATCATTTCCTCATGTACACACACAAACACACACACGTCTCTTATGTTATATAATTTATTTTTATGATAATATTCTAACAGAGTGAGAAAAAAGGCGTTTTACGTAAAATACATATTTAAAAAAAAAAAAAAAAAAAAAAATACAAACTTTAAAGGATACGAATAAAATTTCTCTCCCATTCTTCGACCATGTACAGTTCCGTGACAAGCGTGTACCGAAAGTACCAGTACTTGAGGAAAGACACTAGTTTTTGTGCAGGATTAATCATCACGATTACTGTGATTGTGTTATTTTTAAGTTATAAATAAGAGAAAGACTGTACAACTCCGTTATATAGTATATTACATCACTTCAAAGGCGCACCTTCCCACAAACCAGATGCGAAACAATTGTCAATGAATGTTTATGACAGAGAGACAACTGAGAGCGGCCTGGGCCCATAGACGTAAAATATATAGACTGCGCGTTCCCTACCTTTGCCATGTTAAAGAAAATGTCTTCAACGTTGAGAGAGACAGCTGGTGTTAAAAAGTAGACCCTCATCTTTGTCTAGCGAAGTAGTGAGGGAAAAAAAAGTCTTCGCTGATTGATAGAATAATAGTAAAAATAATAGTGGGGAAAAGTGGTGATAGGAAGAATAGTGGGGGTGAAGAAGAGTGAAAGAGATTAAGGCCCGAAGTCATAGTCGCTTCTCAAATCTTAGATCTCTCACGTCTCCAATATCAGATTTCAGCTCTCAAGTCTCGAATCTCCAAACTTAAATTTGAATGTGAATAGTTTATCCAAAACAAGAGATTTTGTAATACGTTAAGAACCCAATTCACAACAACATCACATCTATTATGAATAGTTTATCTTGTAATTTGGTAGTTTGTGGTCATAAAGTGTAATATACCAAGTAGCCAGTCTTACACAGACTGGCGTGTGGACTAATCTTTACGGTCCAAGAGCCATACTTGCACCAAACCAAACCTAATATACCAAGTAGCTTAGAATGGCGTATGGACTAGCTTGAGTCGGTTTTTTGAGTTATATATACACCAAACCAAACCAATATACCAAGTATTTTCCACTAAGCCATTTTTGCACCAAACCAAGGCTGTGTCCAATTAAACGATATACCAAATGCAGGAAATACAAATTCTTCTTCTTCTTTGCTTATATGGCTCACGCCCCTGCGAGAGAGGAGCAAACGCCAGTCTGTAGATATACATTCTCAGAACGAATGTGGGGGGGAAGGATGTGCAGTTTTTACCTACACGGCCGTCTTTCACAGTGGGCGTGCGCCCATCTATGTCGGGCTCGTGCTCAAGATAGTATGACTACGATCTCGCCTTGTGGGAGGGAAATTAATTCGGGATTACACTCGAATTAAATTTTTGGAGGCTAGATTTAGTTCGCCAATCAACCGATAAACTCGGTTGAAAGGGACCGGCCCGGAAAAAAACCTTAAGTGGTGAGCGGATTCGAACTCGGGACCACCAGGTTCGCAGCCCCTGCACTCAGGCCGCGAGACCACTGGGCCGGTCTGCAGGAAATACAAGAATTGAAATATAAGGAATAGCAGGAATTGAAAGAAGTAAAGAAAGTGGAAAAAAAGAAAAGAGAAGATGGCTCCCCGATCTGTTGCGGAGATGCGCAGTACCCATATAAATAATACTATATATATGGCAGTACCAGAAGCAGACAACTGTTATCTGTTGATAAAAGATCTGCTGAACAGATTTGGATTGGTATCGTAACCAAAACAATTATTCAAGTTTCCATTCCGTTTATTTGTAAGAAAATTAAACTAAAACTAAACATGGCAAATAACGTTCATTTAGCGAAGATAGGAATAATATATATATATATATTATAATATATATAATATATACAGGGTCTCGTAGGCAGGTAGAAGGAGTAAAACTGAGTCGAAAAGTCCTGAACCATTTTTTTCTATTATTTATAATAAAGGAGTAATTATTGAGTAAATCAGGCCAATCAGCGCAGACCTTTAGCCAGGCACACGTCAGTGAGCACTCACACACACCAG